GACTAATTTGGGGGTAGGGATTAGAAATAAGCAAATAAAATATTCAGTATACAGGAACATACAAACATGCATACAAAACAATGTTGAATTTCAACTACCATTAAAGAAGAACAAGTCAAAGACCAAGTATTTATCAGTTTTATAGATATTCTTACCGTTTACTAGCTCCTAATATGGTATTAATAATGGGGAGCAGTCGTGTGTAATAGGCTACTAGGGGAAATAAAACGGTTTAAAAATTTTTGAAAGGCATATGGCAATGTGTACCAATATCAACACCCTATAACCTGGCAATTCACTGCTTGGAACTTACTTTACATATAAACTTACCTAAGGATACAAAGATATTAAAAGGATAATCATTTTACACTGTGCAAAAGTCACAGGCCTCAAAACAATTTATCCATAAATTAGAATATCGTCATACAAAGAAAAAACCATGAAGCCACTAGCCAAGCAGACAGACAGACAGACAGACACACACACACACACACACACACACACACGACAGAAACATGGACACACACAGTGAACAAGCAGCAGGACAGAACTGGCTCTCAGAAAAATACAGCCTTAACCCCAGCATTTCCTCAAGCCTTAGCAACCCCCGTTTCAGCAATGTATAATGCAGGAACCGACATGTCAAGCAGATACAATGCTGACATGCTGCTATAAGCCTTTCATAATAAGAAATGATACTATTCCCTTCAAGCCAAATTTTTGTTATCGATTTTCTTTGCATTGACAATATCATATACTCAATATTTTTGCTTGCCGTGGTGTGTGCCACTGTCCCTTCACCCCAGGACCTTTTAAAGGAGTTCTCAGAAATGATGTTTCCAAGCTTCAGCAACCAGGAATGCTAGTATCTACCTAATATGCATGCAAATTCACCCCTTTAAATTCAGCCAATTGGGTCAGAGAGCTCACTAAAATCAAAAGAAATTCAAGTATGCATAAATGGATATCTTACCTCTTAATTCTATCCTGCATAAATGGATTTGTATAGCCTATAGATGTCTATGTAGGTGGGAGGAAACACATCTAAATGAAATGCTACAAAGTCAGGAAGGACACCTTCCTAAAGAAAAGATTCCCATCACCTTCAAAAAAAGGGGGGGGGGCAGAGGGTAGTAAAACCCACTTACATTATAGTACAAGTCTCAATATAAATAAGCCCAAGTGTGTGGCTGCCAACTAGGGCCTTAAAAGGTTCTTAGCTAGGGATATACTCACACCCACAAAAACTAGAACCTCCATCCTAAAACTTGCTAACACTTTTTTGATAAATGTGAAATTTTCCCAAGCAGCCAACAAGACTGCCAGCAACAAGGTTTATTTTAACATGCTTCTCCAGAGTATCTCTGTGTAACTCTGGTGCCAAGGTGTAACAATTTTTGGAGATGGGAATGCTTAAGAAAATACTTGACTTTTTAGCACAAAGTAAACATAAAGCCTTTTCTCTACCACAAAACATTAGAAAATTTTATATATGTATCTCTGTACCTATTTCTTCAGGTACAGGAATAACTCTTCCTAATCCCAAATCCAACAAAAGCAAACTCTCATGGGCAAGAACGTGGACAACTACAGCTAACCAACTGCCTGAACTCAATTTGCTTAAAACCATTTACAGAGGACAGACAGGTTAGATCTTATTCTCCATTGCCCTATCACAAACATCTAAAGCAATGAAAATGGAAACAAATGATATGGATAGTATCTTCCAGAAATAGTACTGCCACTTTAATTAAGTCAAAGGCATATGTTTGCAGAGTAAAACTGCTCTAAAGTGAAACCAATATAAAGTTGAGTTTAGGAAGAATAAGGGCACTGTTTAGCCCTTTTAGCTAAGCACAGATAAATAGATTTTAAAAGTGATACAAAATTCTATCGACAGGAACTGCATACTCTTCCAATCTTTAAGGCAAACACTATGTCTTCTTTGGTTCCACAGCTTGAACCTTTTGAACCCAAAGAATGGGCACATGAGAAAGGAGGCTAGTGGCACAAGGAGCAGCTGAGCCTCGTGGGCACGGGTGTCCACCAGGTATTACTGCTCACTTCTTCAGGGCACCAGAAATCAATCACTCTTTATTGCACTGGTACATCTCTAGGCAATTTCTCTTGCCCACAAGTCTGGAATACAATAATTTAAATAGTTTGCATTCACTAGAATGTAAGAGGTAAGTTAAACAGACCAGAGAGCAGGAAAAAACCTGAGAGTCTAAAGGGAAGGAGATACTTTTCCTTCTGCACTTTCACATACAACTCATCCCTAATCATGGTTGTTCTAATCCAACTGACTTAAATGATTTTTCCCCTATGAAATTAAAGTGGTTACTTGAAGACTTGAAAACAGCTTCACCTGGATGGCAAAGTTCCTCTCCCCCCACAAGGATGGCTGACTTCAATAAGGCATTGACAACATCCCAAGGGCTTGTTTTTATTTTCAAAAATAATAATAAAAAAAATTAAAATAATTTAAAAAAAGAGACCACCTTTTCAGACTTCCCTCCCTTAAAACTTTTTGGTGCTGGGACCAGCAGTTAATGTAATGGTTATGTCTCTGTACTCCCACGTAGTTGACCACAGTTTGCATCCTGGACCCGGTGGCTTAAAACTCACACCAGGTGCATATGCGTGCATGCCCAAGATCCTGAGAGGAGAATGGAGGAGAAGGGATTGCGGTGTGGCCATCCCTCCGTGGGGTGATTTCTCGCTTTCTGTCTCTCCCTGGCAAGCGCACGCACCCTATAGTGAAAACCTCTCCAAAAAAACCCAAAACAAAACAAAAACAAAAAAACAACTTGTTGGTGCTAATTCCTGTAGAACAAACAGTATCTCTGCAATCTAGAGTCACATATCTTGTAGAAATCTGATTAAACTATAGCCACAGAAAAATGAACAGGCAACAGAATTTTACAAGCTAGTCTATGGACCCAAATTAAGAACGCCTAGCTTACAGAAACCACAGAAAGGATCAAGGTCAGGCGGGCTCAGGGGCACCACAGTAATGGTAACATACTGCTTAAGTGAAGCTAGATACATATGGGAGATGACGCTTTCAGCTCCCTAGTGCACCCACGATTCTGGTTGGTTGGGAAAGCTGGATGGAGGTAGAGGGGTGTGGATCACAGTATGGGATCCTGCTGTCTTCACTTTGTCTCTCTCTCTCTCTCTCTCTCTCTCACATATACAACTAAATAAGCTTTAAAAAGGGGAGGGGGGTTAAGTTAGGGGCTGGGAGAGTTTGGCATCTTTAGCACATAAAACAGGGTATGTCCTCCCCTACTCTTTAACCAGCAAGCAGGAACACAGTGGGTGTACTTGGTGTGGGTTCATTCCTAAGGGCTAAGGTTCTGTTCACAGGCAAAGTTGGCTTAAAGACTTCCATTCCACCTGTCTGACAACACTGCAGTATGAGACTCTGCTGGCCCTCAGAGTATTTCTGCTTTCTGTCTCCCTTTCTACTTACCAGGCATTTCCCCAATTAAACTCTGGACTTGTAATTCCATCTTGGGGTCACTTCTAGAAGAATTCAAATCACAACTAGAGCATTTGCTGCAGCTTTCACAGCACCTTTTCCCAGGCCCCTAAGGAAGGAAACCTTGAAGTCTTCCAGTTCTCACTTCAAAACAAAAAATGTTATCCCTTAATATAATGACTTCTTACACTTGCCCAGTGGAATGAAGCCCTTGGAAGCTAAAAGGCCAATGATGTTCTTGGTTTGAGATTTCTACCCTCAGGTCTGAGACAAGGCTAAGGATGGGTAGCAATGAGATGGGAGAAACAGGTCCAAATCATTAAGGTGAGATGTATAAAAGGCCTTGTCTTTGCCAGGCCCAAAAATTCGGCACCAATTCTAGGAACAGCTTTTGCATTTATAGAACACTTAACATGGAGATGTACATTCATAACTAAGGTCTGAAAAAATAATGACACTATTTGACAGGGGGAACCTGGAGTCAGGACAATAAGCCAGAGCAAAAATACTATTTCAAAGTATGAGTGACCCTTTGTATTCACAAGAGAGATCCTGAAACGATGAGCGTGAGACTCAAAGTCAGTTCTGAAGAACTGTGAAGAAGGAAATAGTGTGCAAATGCTGTGTTATTTTGAGACCCACAAGCCCCAAATCTCGTATCAACTGAAGCTTTTCAGTAAGTGGTAGGTGAGATTCTGAGGTAAATATAAGGAACCATGTCAGAATCCAAACATGCTGTGTAGCCTGCTCTAAATCAACTCTGGTCCACTGTTAATGCTCAGGGCTTATGTATTAAAATAACTGTATCAATCCATCCTTTTCTCCTAGTAGGACATTCAAAGATCAGTTCAGCATTATTTTTCAATCAGCATAGTGATAAAATGTTGTTATAAAGTAGGACATAGGAGAAATCTTTTAAATTAGAGTTCCCCTGAAATTCTCAGAGAGATAACTAAATGCTTTGTTTTGTAAAATTCTGACCTTTTTTTCTTGGCGTGTGATATTAAGCTCTTAATGACAAAGAAATCAAACCTATTTAGCTAGTGTACCAACACATCTAAAGCAAATCATAGTCATACTTTGATTTTTTAACCAAGCATGACAAGGCAATTGAGTAGCTTTCTGAACTACCACAGCAGTGGCACTACCTTGCATAGGCAGGCGTTAAATCAGCACTTCATAAATCGTGCAGGAGTCTGCCCATTTAGACGATCTCTCTATGCAGAATCAGCAGTCTAACACTGGCTCTCACAAGCATTAAAAACCATCACTCTGCTAACCCAACTCACTGTTCAGATGAGTCTTCTTGAATGCAGCCTTTATTACAACCTCACTGCTCCTTCCTACACTGAAGAAATATCATGTTTTAAGCCAGGAGCTCTTCCTTCTCACTTTATTTTAATCAGGGGGTCTTGCAACGACCCTGATACTGTTAGAAAGCATGGTGCTTTTTAACAGTAAAGCTTCTGGAAAACCCAAACAAAAGACACGTCACCAGGTGACGTCAGCCTATATACAGTTCTGTGTGGTCGCAGCACATAAGCAAACCCATTCTTGTGCCGTTTCTCGGAAAAGCTTTTCAGTAAATGCACTCATGCTGCCCCAGGAGCTCTTCTCTGCAACAAGCCGCCCATCTGCCATCAACAAGTTCAGACCGGGAGAACTAACGGCTGCGGAAGATAGAGACTGACGCTTTGATTAACCAGCCGAGCAGTTAGGAGGAGAAAATTAATAACTTACATTCAAAACTGATTTAGGGGACCAGACCCATCGCAGAAAATGAAACCAATTATTTCCAGAGGAATATCCTAAGGAAAAAGATCAGCTCATCCTGGATTTAATTTTACTCAGAAAGCCTAGGACACAGAAACAGGAAACTGGTGAAAGGCTCCTGCATGTTAGAGCCTTTTACAGACTCACTGCGTTGAGTCTTAACAACCGCGACTGAATGCAGCCTCCAATGTGCTCAGAAGAATGGGTAAGTCCGTGCATTTTTATGTCTTATGCAATCAACAACGAAGCATGCTTTTAAAAATAAACCACTGAATTCACATTTTTATGGGAGAAATCACTATCACATGTTTGGATTTTGAGGTTTAGGTAAAAGCATATATCACTGATGATAGGGCATGTTTAATTTTCCTTTTAAATGGTTTAAGTTTTGTTCTAGTCATGACAACAAGGTTAATTTTTCTGCAGTAAATGAAAAAGAAGTTACATGCAGTAAAATTACCATGATGTTATGTTGTTGTTGTTGTTGAATAGCCCATATGTTCTGCTGAAAAATATCCTATCTTCTTGTTTTCCTTAAATTATATTCTGCAGGCTTACATTTCAAGTGGCCATTAGGGGCCCCTATGCTGGCAGCAATATATGCAATGAGTATGGTTTTAAAAATGCTGCCTGCCCTGGGTATGGCGTGTCCACCCAAATGCCGCTGCGAGAAGCTGCTCTTCTACTGCGACTCTCAGGGCTTCCACTCAGTGCCAAACGCCACTGACAAGGGCTCTCTAGGCCTGTCCCTGAGGCACAATCACATCACAGAGCTTGAAAGAGATCAATTTGCCAGCTTCAGTCAACTTACCTGGCTCCACTTAGATCACAATCAAATTTCAACAATAAAAGAAGATGCTTTTCAAGGACTCTATAAACTTAAGGAATTAATCTTAAGTTCCAACAAAATATTTTACTTGCCAAACACAACTTTTACCCAACTAATTAACCTGCAAAATTTAGACCTGTCTTTTAATCAGCTGTCATCTCTGCACCCAGAGCTCTTCTATGGCCTTCGGAAGTTGCAGACCTTGCATTTACGTTCCAACTCCCTGCGGACTATCCCAGTACGCCTGTTCTGGGACTGTCGTAGTCTGGAATTTCTGGATTTGAGCACAAACCGTTTGCGAAGTTTGGCTCGCAATGGATTTGCAGGATTAATCAAACTGAGAGAGCTTCACCTAGAGCACAACCAGCTGACGAAGATTAATTTTGCTCATTTTCTACGGCTAAGCAGTCTGCACACGCTCTTCTTACAATGGAACAAAATTAGCAACTTGACATGTGGGATGGAGTGGACCTGGGGCACTTTAGAAAAGCTAGACCTGACTGGAAATGAAATCAAAGCAATCGACTTGACAGTGTTTGAAACGATGCCGAATCTTAAAATACTCCTCATGGATAACAACAAGTTAAACAGCCTTGATTCCAAGATCTTAAACTCCCTGAGATCCCTCACAACCGTTGGCCTCTCTGGCAATCTATGGGAATGCAGCCCCCGAATATGTGCTCTGGCCTCTTGGCTGGGCAGTTTCCAAGGTCGGTGGGAGCATTCAATCCTATGCCACAGCCCTGACCACACCCAAGGAGAGGATATTCTAGATGCAGTCCATGGATTTCAGCTCTGCTGGAATTTATCAACCACTGTCACTGCCATGGCTACAACTTATAGAGATCCAACCACTGAATATACAAAAAGAATAAGCTCATCAAGTTACCATGTGGGAGACAAAGAAATCCCAACTACTGCAGGCATAGCAGTTACTACGGAAGAACACTTTCCTGAACCAGACAATGCCATCTTCACTCAGCGGGTAATTACGGGAACAATGGCTTTATTGTTTTCTTTCTTTTTTATTATTTTTATAGTGTTCATCTCTAGGAAGTGCTGCCCTCCCACTTTAAGAAGAATTAGGCAGTGCTCAATGATTCAGAACCACAGGCAGCTCAGATCCCAAACACGACTCCATATGTCAAACATGTCAGACCAAGGACCGTATAATGAATATGAACCCACCCATGAAGGACCCTTCATCATCATTAATGGTTATGGACAGTGCAAGTGTCAGCAGCTGCCATACAAAGAATGTGAAGTATAATATCTGCCCATCATCAAAAATCACATCAGATAAGTAACCTATTTTACATAGTAGGGGCTAAATACATTATCTAATTTTTACCAATGGTGACATTAAGCCTAATTTTCCAAATCCAATGGAGACTTAGTTTTTGAAGTGTTTAAGTATTTTTAATTTTTTTAATGAAATCATATTTTAAATGTTAAATGAAGCAATGCTCACACTGATTTGCACTGTTGGAAAGTCTAAAAATGCTTAATTCAAAAATAAGACATTTCATGTATGTGATTATATACTCTCATGTGTAAACATTTACACTAAGGTCTCCATATGCTGTTTTATTCTACTGAAACAGTTTTGAAAGAAACTGTTGAGCAAAACGAGATATGAATCAATACCTGTTTGATCATTGCTCTCCATCCCATGTACCACAACTGGCTTGCTGCTTAAAAGGAGACTTAAAGTTCTCTTGTATGATAATTTGGTATTTACTCAAATCTACAATCTACTGCCGGTGTGGGAAGTAGAATTTCATGTATGCTGAAGGTTGGTAAATATTAAATACTCTCCTTCCAGAGTTTTTGCCTGGGTTAATAGACATTATCAAAGTCCACATCATGAAATCAAAACCCTTTATGTAATTCTAATAAGCCAAGTGACTCTTGAATATATTTAAACAATGAATCCAAGTGATTGTGGAAAGGTCTCATTACAAAATGAAATCAAACTAAGAATTATACCAACTTACCATATATCTCTAGTTTGACTTTATAGTGGATGCACTGATTTTTGTAGCATTTAGACAATTATTTTAAATTAGTATTAAATTACCACTTTACTAATTAATTTACTAAATATTATATTTACATTTCTACATAAAGATTTAGAAATTATTTGAGAGAAAAGATATAACTGAGTCAATTTAACAATCCCAACATCATCCATCCAGTTTGAAAGTGTGTGCACACACACACGCACATGTATGGTCACTCTCTCTCTCAACTGTTGTGATCAAAGGAAGCCTGGACAAAAGGGTTTAAAATTCTTTCTTCTGCCTTTTCCTAATCTTCAAACCTCAGAGCCAAATTAAAAATAATTGGCTAGCAACAGGCACATTGATTTATTGTAAAGAAACCATAAAGGAAAAAAACACTTTCTGTATATGATATGCTAAATTTCGACCTTTTAATAAAGATACACACTCACATTAAAAGTACAGTTCCTTGTAAGTGAAGGGAATAACATCTACCTGAGGTCAGTCTTACAGAACACAACAGGCCTATGTAGCCATGCCGTGAGGAGGTGCGGGGACAGAGGTGAAAGGCAGATTTTGAAATCTGGCTCACAGGTTAGCTGAAGTTACCGGGCAGTCAAG